CCTTAGATTAATTCCAAGGGAAATTACTCCGCTTCAGAAAAATTCCAACATATAACAATGAACATAAGATAAGACACAAAGTATGTTTGAACACGGGAATAATAAAAGCAAAAAGAGAGGGGGGGGGGGGAACCTAATTGAGATTGTTCTCACGAAGAAAATGTGCTTGCCTGAAGTGAACGGAGGAAACTTGCTTGAGTGAAAAAGAAGACGGTGCGTGCCACATAAGCCCATATACTGCCGATTCACAGCTTTCTAATAATCCTAATAAATTTGGTTATCTTTGTAATACAAAAGTATGAGAATGCATAATGAAGGAACAAAAACATTACCGCTTGCTAAAGTTGAAAAGCTCTGCCTCTAGCTTCAATGGGAACACTGATATGCTAATAGCTTCACTCAGATTCTGTGCTGCTCAAGTTCTTCTTTTTCTACTATGCAATTAAAATTTAGCTAATTATTGAAGTCGAGAATTGAGTGACAGCTTAGTGATTAGGTTGCTGTCTTTCCTGGTCATAGACCAGAATTCGATTCCCACCAGGGGTTGTAAGGGGGGTTTTACCCACATTTAAGTGAGGTCTACTGGGATGAATTTTTTTTTTAAAAAAACTAATTATTGAAGTCCATCCTATGCATCGAAACAAACTACGAAGAGATAACTCATGGCTTCTGCAAGCAATTGACAAAAAAAGCATGAAAATTAACATGGAGAGAATCTCAAATGAACTATATATTTAATTGTACTTCAATCAGAATACAAATTTAATAAAAATCAACTTAAAACTAACCTGAAACATAGCGACAGCAGATCTCTAATGACGAGGCTCCACCACCACCACCGATTGTCGATGCTCCACGACCACTGGCTGTGAGGAAAACAAACACCAAGAAGCCCAATTGGAATTCCAACTCGTCGACAACCATCACCACCAACACCTCAGCCGCACAATCAACTTCGAATCCAAAGTTTGGATTTTGATTTGGATGCCATGGGAAGCCGTGGAGCTGATTGGGTCGTGGCGGATGGGGGAGGGCGATGACGGTGGTAATAATGATTGTAAAAATTTAGTTTATTGTTATTAAGTTCTTTTAAAGCTTAAAACCCAAAACGACGTTTTTTGGAAGGCAAGGGTTTTTTCCAAAAGCTTTACGGATTTTCTGTCCAAAAAAATGACATTATTCAAAATGACGTCGTTTTGGATGTTGGGGTTTTTTCCCCAAAATCCAACGGAATGTTTAAATTGAGATTTATGAAGTCCCGTTTATACCCCTAATAAGTCGCTGACGTCATATCAACTCCATCCGACGGACGAGATTGCTTTGAAGGTGGCCCTGAATATTTCTTGGGCATTTAATTTCTTGCTTACTGTGCCTTTATATTAAGTACTAGGCTTGTCTTTGTCGCGCGTTGCGCGACCAGTTTGTATTATATAATTATTATTCTGTGTTCGTAACCAAAAAGTAATTTTACAGAGAAAGTATAAAAATAGTTTGTTTTATAGAATTCTATGTCAATAATTTGAATTACAATTACTTAATCTTTTTATTATGAAATGTAGCTTGTTTTTTATTTTTGACTTTACTTTGTATTCTATTCGTTTCTTTAGTCGATAAGACTATTTGTATTCACCAAATCGGGAAGAAGTAAAAGGTAGTACTCGATCTTTATGAATTTCTGTATTAGGAGCTCATAAATTAGGATCGGTTGCTACAAAAGAATCAAAGTAGTGGCCTTAGGAAGCCAAGAAGCCTTGTTTTCTCGAGTAAAATGAGCTTGGAATGAACCATTTTCCCATTGTTTTGGGGCTTGTCTTGACAAAGAATGACGGCATTACTTTAAATGCAGCAAAGGCAAAGAATAACAATAATATAACTATTTGTATAAAGGCTAGATTTTAAGCCCGCACAGGATTATCAAAGAATCACTTGTCAACACTACCATCGACTGTGTTTGTGGGAAAAGGTTTGACATATGGAAACATTGGTGCAAAAAATAGAAATGGAGACCAGAAACTAATGCCTAATTAGCAGTAAAAATAAAAGTATAGGGATGTACGCCAAAAAAATTCCAAACCTATTAGTTGATCATGACTTTACTGAGCAAGAGACAAGTAGTTGCATAAGATCAAACTCAATGAAATTATTTTTGCCATACTATTTGTTGAGCAAATCTTAAGAATCAACTAAGTGCGTGTGAAGCATAGTTCATAGTTGTTTGGCGAGCAGCTGAAGAATATGCACCAATAAAAGTTGTTCCAGATAGATGAAGAAATTAAGTAGTAAATAATAAAAAGAAAATTAAGGATAAACAATAGAAACGTTTATGCGCAAAGTTATAGAAGAGTGTTTCCTTCTCTGAAAGGTCTTCTAGAGTAACATAATAGATTCCTGTTTTTGACATTTAGTGGGTAAAGAAACTCGAAATACTTATCTTTTTCTCACTATTGACAACCAAATGACTGTTGGCATAGATTGCAAGAAGCATAGTAAGGCAGAGAAGCAAAAGCCACCAGAAAGTCTTACGAAACAAGGTTTTTTTAAATGGTAAAGAGACAGTGAGTATCTTTTCCTAATGTACCTACTCCTTTTTATCTGTATCTGGTACAATCAGTGAAATTCTTGAACCTGAAGAACAACAAAAAAACAATGAGCTTTACATATGAAGTAATGTAGTATGCTCTATACTTAGTCAATCCAAAGCAGAAACGGGTAGCTTCTCCCCAAAGCATTCCCAATCATCAGGTACTAATATTAAGACGAGTAGCCAAGTGTCCATCATTTTATTTGCCTGGTAAAGAAAAATTTACCACAAATAAACTATCATAATTAGGATATCAAGTTAGTGGCTCACTAATGCATGTAGCAAATCCGTATGCTATCATTTTTTTTTTCCCTTACACCAAGTTCCTTATCATGCTACTAAAGTAGCTCATCATTATATTCCAAATTTTCAAATGATCCAGCATACATATCAAAGAGAGCCTAGGCGTATTAATTAGAGAAAAATATTCAAATCTAGACATGGAGGTAATTTCTCAAGGCTAATCAACTTTTTTGAACCATAGACATATAAAGAGATGGTATTTTAGTTCTTTATTATAAAACAGTCAAATATTAGAAACATAAAGTCAGAAAAAGAGTACATTACAAGATCACAAGTATATAAAGTCAGTAAAAGAAGTACAAATTTTGGTGCAGATATCTAGTGGAGTGTGGATTTATGACAAATTTTGGTCCCAATTTGATGCAATGTTGTTGCGATCGTATACTAAACTACATTTGATTAGTCTTCCAGGTGATTCACTTTGTTGACAGTAAAAGAACCTCTGTAACCCAATTAATTTTAAAGTGATTGATAATGTATTCTCATATAGATCACATTTAGGGAACAACAACAAAGAATGTCTACCAGTTCAATAAACCAAAATTTTATGTGTTCAAACCTAAGGCATAAAAAGGCCTCCCTTCCACTTCAATTTTCACTTTGCAATTAAATAGGTTCAATACAAACCAGGTTTGGTGGAGACAGTATACGACACACCAATGCAAACATGATCATATCCCAAAAAATAGTAAGTCATGAGAACTTTTACCAGGGTTGAAAGGTTTGCACCTTTGTCCAACTAACATAAGATAAATTGACATGAAACCAATTGATCAGCAAATATTCCATATTCCATGTACATTTAAAATTGGTTTGAAACACAAAAGAAGAACAAACATTTGGCCAATTCAATAGGATTCAAAAAAAGAAATTTTAAAAAGGAACTATCTTGCAAAGGTCTTTATAACATGGCTCGGGTTCCATAATTTTGCTATTTCTGCTGACAATATATCTCTTTTTCTCACTCTCCTTATAATTCTTCATATTCTGAAAGAGTTCAATTCGATGACTAACCGAAAACAACATAAAATAAACACAATTACATGAAATTCTGCTAGATTAAATAGAATTCAACAACTCAAACATTCTCGTAAAATCCTACTTTTTCCATCCAAAATCATAGCCATATGTGAATATTGAGATCAAAACTTCAAATTCGTTTTAATACAAAAGATATGAAAGGGAAAAATAAAATCAGTATTACCTATGGTAGGAGAGAGATCTTCGAAGGTATCTGGAGTAAAGTTGAGCAAAGGACTACTTTTTTCTACTCCAGAATCCCCAATCAACAATAACTTGAACAAATAATCAAATTCTTACGAGGAGGACGACGAAGACGATACCATCTCCACGAAGTTTAATTGGAACATTCATGAAAAAAACAACAGATTAGGCAACCTGAAAAATAAGAAAAGATTAGGACCAAGTGAAATTCAGTGAACATAGACAAGATTAGATATCATTCAAGATTTCATGATGCAGTAACTATTTCCCTATTGAATGGCAAAAGTAGAATCAAAACAAATCATAATAAAAAGAGAACTACACCAAAACAAACCTTTTGGAGAATAAAACAATTCAGGAAGTGCGGAGAGCCCCAGTAAAAAAGTCCTTCTGATTGTCCTTGGCATTTGATGTGGTTTGGTGTCCTCTTTTTGCGCGGAGAGCTCTCAACAGAAACAAATAGCAGAAATTATGCAATTCTGATTTCCATATTAGAAAGTTCTGCAATGTAAATACCAACAAAAATCAACAAAAAAAAAAAGAAGAAGAAAAGCTTAGGAGTAGACTCCAAGGAAAAAGAAGCTGCAGCAATAGTACAGAAAGACCGAACTTTTTTTTTTTTTCCGGTGAGTGAGGTTGTGGCACAATCCACGGTAGTGGGGAGAGAAGAGGAAAAAACTCTCTGAAAAATCCGGTGAGCGACTCTTCGCAGCAATAGAATTAGAGCCCAAATAGAAAGAAAAAGAAAAAGTAGAAAAAGTAGTGTATATAGAACAATGTTCAAATCTTGTCTAGCACCACGATCTATGATCGATCAAGATTAGAGCCCCTTCCTCTTCTCTTTATCTTCGTCCCCAACAGTCTCACCGGTGAAGGTTACAAAATCGAATCTATGGACTCAATCGACAAACGTTCCGGCGATAAACTTCAACAACTCTGCACAGAGGTTATGGTGATTAGCGGCGGCAATTCAATTTTGAAGGTGGTCTTTAGCGGCAGTTTGATTTTTAGCCGCAGCTATAGTTTTAGTCGCGGCGGAGGAACTGCGGTTCTAATTCGTGTCTGTAACCAATTTTTTATATATAATTTTTCGGTCCCAAAAAACGGTGCGGGTATCAGCATAAATAGAGCTCTTAAAAAAGAGAGAGGAGGCTAAAAAACAAGAAGGAAAAAGGAAAGATGAATCGAGTATAATCTGTGGTCATTTTGTTTCGGGGATTCAACAAAATTTCTTTTTAAAAAGAAAATATTGATACAAAAACGTCGTCGTTTTCACTGCTGGGAATAAAATAAGGGTATAAAACGACGTTGTTTTAATATCTGGGGATTTTTTTTTACCAAAAATTCAGATTTTTTCTCATTCATTAATTTGAAATTGAATTTATGCATTCTCCTTTTTGCCCCCAATAAGTTGCTGATGTCATATCAAGGCCATCCGACGTACAAGATCAATTTGAAGGTGGCTCTGAATATTTCTTGAGCATTTTAATTTCTTACCTACTGTGACTTTATATTAAGTATAAGGATAAGGATAAGGATATATATATATATATATGTATGTATATAATCCCCCACTTGTCACAGGAAAATGTTTTTATTTTTAAAATTAAAACATTACAATCAAATTAATTATTTTTTTGGTGATTTTACAAAATATATCACCCCTTTGTTTTAAAAACCATGATTGTACTTCTGTCTGTAATCTTTTTTTTTAAGAGTAGTTATTTTTCCAAAATTAGTGTATTTCTAGGAAAAGGAAAAATACAAGAAAATCTATAAAATCTCTCAACTTGGCTCGCACGCTTATTTAGGCCTGCTTATAGTAAACTAGTAATAATAATATATCCCTTCACGCCACCACAAAGTGACACATTCTCTTTGTACTTTTTATTCCCAGTTGACTTTTTATTCTCCGGCGACTCCTCCGGCGTCCTCCAGCCATGACTCATATCCTTTGATTTCGCGAATTGTTTTTTCTCGTTTTCCTCTTTATTGTTGCTTTCCCGCGGAATTTTATTCTTGAATTTTCACGATTGATTTTCTTTCCGATTTGCGAAACGCACGAATCCTCTGATGAATTTCTTCAAACACGTTTGATTCAATATTTACGTGATTGAATTGAATAGTTGATTGTTGTAGCTCGTGTTTGATTTCGAGATTTATATGTTTAGTTTTGATTGATTCAACGCGATTTCATGAATTTATGATTGATTTTGGTACTTTTTTTGAGTCTTAATTGAGAGTGGAATTGAATCATTGTATTATGCTTGATTGATTGAATTTCTTTGACCGGATCTAACGTGGAAATCAAAGAGAGAAAGATAGGGAAAGAGCTCAGGCCAGGAACGGTGGCAAGGGCAAGCAAAAAGACGATGGCTTGACTCCTGAACAACGCCGTGAAAGGTTGTAACTTTATCTAATTTTTTTCCCCCTTCCAATTATTGAATTTCGTGTAGTATTTTGATCGAAATTGCCAATATATATTCTTTGTAATTTGTTATTTTCTGTTGTACTGATTGAATATTGTGTATTCGTTGATTCTCCTTGTATACTGATTAGATCTTGTTGTTATTGCTGCAGTTGCGGTTTGTGTATGAATCATAGTGCAGTTTTACTGGTTTAGGAATATTGTGATCTTTTTCGAATTTGATTTCTTTAGGTTTTAGGATAAAGAAGACTGGACGTTTGGTTAATAGGTTTCACCTTCATGTTTTCTTGGTTTCTGACTTCTGAGTACTCAGTTAAGGAATCTATGTTTTGGGCGGATTAGTTATTTGTTAACCGTCTCATTGTACATGTTTGGCATGTTGGCATCCCGAGTGTACTTTCTTGACGAAGATTGTGCTTTTATCTCCTTCAAGTATTCTTGTTGTGTGTCTTTGTTCCATTTATAGGTTTGGCAATGGCGATAATCTGATTTTATTCCTGTGTTTCTGATTAATGATGGTTTTCAGGGATGCTAAAGCCCTCCAGGAAAAAACTGCGAAGAAGGCGGCACAGGCAGCTGGTGGGAATGATGCTGGAGCTAAAAGCAACAAGAAATAATTGATGCTCATGCCAATGACTTCCTCTGCTGCCACTTATTCCAAACGGAATCTTGTTTGTACCTTTAGTTGTTTATATACATTTATATTTTGCAAAACTCTAGCGTTTTTATTCTGATTGACATAGTTTGTCTTTCTTTTGTTGTCCCCATAAAGAATAATCTGATGCCCAATAATCTGTTGTTATGTTACTTTGACATATGAGCTGTTCAGCTGTCTTTCCTCTATGCTTTTCCAATATCCGAGTATGCTTATATTTTTTGTCTGTGGATGATTTTGTGGCTTTGATGGAGTTACGAATTCACGATCTTGAACATTTTGGAGCTGAAATTGTGTTAGTTGGAAGAATGCTGTAACCTGTTTGCCCTGAAATAATGATGAGCAAATACATGAAGAACTCAACTAAAGTTCAGTTCTTTTATCAGTTCTGCACGTGTTTATCCTCTGTCTAGCTTGATTTTTAGTGGTTGACCTGTGCACGTTTTTGAACTTGGCCTCTATGGTCAGCTTCTGTAATGATGTGGGTTGGAACCTCATAAACCTCGATTATCATTTTGTTATCTCGCCAGAATGTACCAATTCGTATTGCTGTCCTTCTGCAGTGATGTGTGTTGGAACCTCATAGACCTCATTCATCATTTTGTTATCTGGAGAGAATGTCCTAATTTCTTGTTGTAAATAATATGGATTAGCAATGTTTAAACATTTTCTGTACCAAATGGGAAGTTTTGAGTTGTCCATGTGAAGGGGTTAGAGGGACTATGGACATGGAAATGAGAAAACTCACTGGAGAATTGAAGAAATGCTTTCTTCTAACATTGTTGTTATCTATGTATGAATTTCGTATTTATAATTATTGAATAAGATTTATGCTGCTACTTCTTTTTATGTTTACTCTTTTATAAATGAGGAAGCTGGTGCAATTTACTTTCTGAATCTCTTCTCCACTTGTCTATACTCCTTCAGCCCTAGTAATATTTGATTGGTGAAAGGAGTGTGTGCAATTTAACTGTGTGTGAAGATGCAGTGAAGTTTTACTTAGTTTTGAAAGCCAATACAGTAAATATATCAGTAATATTGAGAAACAGAGTTAACGTACAAATTTGGCGACCTTTGATCATTTACCTATTCACTTCAATAAGACTTAAAAGCCCTGAATTACAGACTTTAACAAGTCCACTTTATCATATGGAAAGAAAATCCCCCACATTCCGCAAAAGTTTAGTTTCATTGATCAAGGTCAAAACAGCCCTGAATTACAGACTTTAACAAGTCCACTTTGTCATATGGAAAGCAAATCCCCCACGTTCCGCAAAAGTTTAGTTTCATTGATCAAGGTCAAAACAGCTAGCATATCCATGTCATCTTTGGTTTTGGACAATCCAGGTACAGACGTTGTACTGTTTCATCTTCATGACAGCAAGCACACAGCAGATATCGGTATTCCTCCCCTTTTCAGGGCTGTTTGGGTGTGATGTGCTTTTCTTTGGCAAGCAGCAAAATCAATTACTGATCCTTCCGCAGTTATGTTTATTTTCAACGAGCAGGAGCTTTATTCTGAATCTCTTGCTTCTATACAACTGGAGGAAAATGATTACAACCGATTAAAGCTACTAAATACAAGCTACTAGAAATCTCATTAACTCTCCACCAACCTTCCCTTTACTAGAGAATCGATGCCAAAAGAGAATCTGACAGGAAAGGTACCAGCTGAAAACTACAAAACTTAAGTACATATTACCGGTATCTAGACTCCTCGAACAAGTCTTCTCAAGTCTTCATTGTCCTTGTTCAAGCGATCAATGCGTGATTGAAGGATGTTAATCATGGCTTGCCCTCGCATCACTTCAATCTTCAAAGCTTCCCGCTCCATGGATACATCCATGATCTCATTCTCTAAATTACTAATGAATTTCAAGAAGCCAGGAGGCACAGATTTCTCGAGACTGGAAGAGTCAAATGTAGCTGTGCTTGCTGGCTGGCTTTCTTTAGGTTCTACGGATTCTAGTAAAGGAAATTCTAAAAGTGAAGAAGAAACATTATCTGTCGTCATCATCATTGTAGTAGGTTCCTGACTCGAAGTAGTATCAGAGTCCTCTGAACCATTGGTCTGGCTGGAGCTTGGATCATCTTGCCTCGGCCTTTTATGTTGCCCTAAAGGGAGAGGCTCTGGCTCCTCTGATTTCTCCCTGTTGCAAATGAATGTTATTCCCCGAGGAGGTTCACTTGGATGATCACACCGGCCAGGAGCCTTATTCATAATCATCATTGTTGCAGGTTCCCGGCTCGTAGTAGTAGAGTCCTCTGAACCATTTGTCTGGCTGGAGCTTGGATCATCTTCCCTCGGCCTTTTATGTGGCACTAAAGAGAGAGGCTCCAGCTCCGGCTCCGGCTCCTCTAATTTCTCCCTGTTGCAAATGAATGGTATTCGCTGAGGAGGCTCACTTGTTTGATCACACTGACCAGGAGCCTTGTTCCTCATAACCATCATTCTTGTAGGTTCCTGACCGGTAGCAGTAGAGTGATTCGAACCATTTGCGTGGCTAGAACTTTGATAATCTTGCCCAGGCCCTTTATTTTGCCCTAAAGAGAAAGGCTTCGGCTCCTCTGATTTCTCCCTATTGCAAATAAATGGTATTCTCTGTGGAGGCTCACTTGGATGACCACACTGACCAGAAGCCTTATTCACAATCATCATCGTTGCAGGTTTCTGACTGGCAGTAGTAGAGTCCTCCGAACCATTTGGGTGGCTCGAGCTTTGATCATCTTGCCGAGGCCTTTTAGTTTGCCCTAAAGAGAGAGATTCCGTCTCCTTTGATTTCACCCTATTGCAAATAAATGGTATTCCATGGGGAGGCTGAATTGGATGACCACACTGACCAGAAGCCTTATTCATAATCATCATTGTTGTAGGTTTCTGGCTGGTAGTAGTCGAGTCCTCCGAACCATTTGTGTGGCTCGAGCTATGATCATCTTGCCGAGGCCTTTTAGTTTGCCCTAAAGAGAGAGGCTCTGGCGCCGGCTCCTTTGATTTCACCCTATTGCAAATAAATGGTATTCCCTTGGGAGGCTGACTTGGATGATCACACTGACCAGAAGCCTTATTCATAATCCTCGTTGTTGTAGGATTCTGTCTAGAAGTAGTAGAATCCTCCGAACCATTTGCCCGGCTCGAGCTTTGATCATCTTGCGTAGGCCTTTTATTCTGCACTAACCATTTGCGCGGCTCCAGTATCTCCAATTTCTCCTTCATCAACCATTTGCGTGGGTTCGGTGCCTCCGATTTCTCCATTTGCGCGGCTCCAGGGATGAAGAGAGTTGTATGATCATCATCATCATCCCATTCCTCATCCAAAAACGGCGCATAACGATCAGCATTTGGAGGACCAAGATTACACTTGTGGAAAATTCTACAGAGGACAAATGCATCCTGTGCCACTCCAGCTCTTTTCAGCTCTTCATCCACCAGTCGGTACTCATGCATCACCCAATTTGTCCTTTTCCCACAAGGCGCTCTCCCACCATGGAAAACCAGTGTTTTCTTCAACCCAATTGTCTGATCCTTATGACGGACTAAACGATCCTTGCCGGTGGTTTTCCAGTATCCATTTCCGGTGGTGCGATTCAGGCGAGACCCACTCTCATACTTCTTGTCAAGGGCGCTGAAAAAGAAATACTCCAGATCCCTAGACTTGACAGATGAAAAACGTCCGAGTTCCCAGGGCTCAGATTTGTAAACATCGATCTCAGTAACCGCTTGAAACCTAAAGGGCTTCCCACAAATCTTCCTCCTCAGATAATACCTTACTAATTCCTCATCTGTGGGATGAAATCGGAAACCCGGCGCCAGAGCCGTTGGTGGCGGCGCACCCATGGGCTGAGCTACATTAATTTCTCCGCCTCCTCCACCAACGGCACCAGGGGTTGATGGCGGTGCCACCGCCACTTTCTCTTCCCCCATATTCTATATATCCTAACCCTAAATCTATGTGGTTGTTTACCAAAACCACGAAATTAAAAACCGACCCAGAACCCAAAACCCTCCATAAATTCAAACCCACAAATGAAATTCACTTCATCCCTCCAAATCAATACATGATAAAAAAAAAATAAAAAAAAAACATAAAGAGTTAGGTTTCGTTCGAGGGCCAAAGAGAAGAAGAAAAAGGAATCATTGGAAGAAAGAGTGAAGAGGGCTCAAGGGTTAGGGTTTAGTGCTGATAACAACAATAGATCTAAATTGATGAGGAAAAAGGGCCTGAAAAGGAGAGAAGCAAGAATCAGTGAAGTAGTGAAGGAAATGGGGATAGGCATTGATGAAGAATTGGTTGTTCAGTTTCCAGTAGATTGATTGCTTCATATCATTGGGCTTCTTTCCCTAAAGAGTAAAGACTAATAACTCTTATTTGATGTTGGCCCAAATTTTATTTCAATGCTCCTGGGCTTTAATTGAGTGATAGAAGTTGGGTCAAAAGAGTAGGATTCCCTATATGGCTACATCTGGGCTTGTATTGAAAAGAAAGGATTGATTGTATATAATTATAATCCACTACAATAATATTATTATGAAACGAAAGGAATAGAATTCTTATTATTTAATGAAGAATGATAAGGATGTGAATTTGTGAACGTGAAATAAAGCAACGAATGATATGACGCGTAAAGAAGAAATGATAGTCTTTCTATAGGTTATTATCTATAAATACATATTACAATCGGTACCACCTTTGTTATTTCATCAGTACTTTCGATATCGTTATGAATCATTTACTCCTATGTAACATGAAATATATTAAAAAAACGTTCTAACAACCAGCATTTGCATGATCTCAAGTACATGCATGATTTTCAGGAATGATGAAATAGGGTTTTGATACCATCATTCCAAGTCCAAGTAATCCATGTACATGGGAGCTTCGGCTAGCTTTAACCACAACTACTAAGACTAGAGTATGTGTGCTTGTGTGTCTGTTTTCTTTTCGTTGAAAATGTAAAATGTTGAAAAAATGAAAAATGCATCGATAAGATAAGGTTATGTTTGTTTCGTTTTCTTTAGTGTGTGTTTTTAGGTGTTTTTTGTATTGAGAATGTAAAAAGGTATATTGGAAATATAAAAAAGTACGCTGAGATGGGACAGTTATTAATATTTTAATTTAAAAATATCATAAAAAAATGAAACAAAGAAAGCCTAAATATGTTAATGAAACCTAGTAAAAGAAATGGAAACAAACACAACTGTTTCTGTGGATGTTATGGATTTCTCAAGTTCTTACTATAAATGTTACAAAAGATTCATTCATTACTCTCAAAATTATGTCCTCTATGAAGGGCGTAGAATCACTATATTCAAACTACTCCATCTGCTGTTCGTTTGTATCACCAAAATTGTCAAATGTTATGGAGTTGTTGTGGATACAAATTTAGGGTTTTGTGGAATGATAAAAACAAAGATAGATACGACGTACTAATCTAATCTCAATGGTCCATTAAGACAATGGCTTGAACTAAAGAAACTTATCTTAGGACTAAACATGTCAGTTGAATGAATCTAGCCACATAATTCCTACAACCTTTTCTAATTAAGTATGTTTAGATGTTAGTTATCACTTTCTAATGTAGTTTAAGCTAGCTAAAGCCATAATTGTTAAAAATATATAGAAAAAAAATGATTTGTGGTCACCAATCAATAAACCTTAAACATTAGACACTTGGGCTTGCGGGATTCGTTGGTCGACTATTTTTAATTGTCAACAAAATTTAGCTCCCTTTCACCTAACTATAAACGATTGGATGCCAAGTTACTCAGTCTTTTTTTTAAGACTAATTTGATGGTTTTCTCAAAAAAAGAAAAAAAAAGAGACTAATTTGATGGTGATGTTAACAGAAACGGATTAGATAATTGCACATTAGTTTAGAATTAGCAACTTTAAGTACAATAAAGTGCGTAAAAAGTCATAATAATTTAGTCCACAATTAATTTAGTGGAAGTCATGATAGGGTGATGAGGAGATGAACTAGTACAACTTAGTTTTCACAACAAATAGGATAACTTTTTTAAATGATTTTTTTTTTTTTTTACAAGTATAGTTTGCTGGATGCCTACGTTATATTGCTGCCAAATTTAAAACTTACTATACAACTCTATATTCCCCGGCTACTACCCTAGTGCTGCTCTCACTTTCTCACCATAAAATTGCTGCATCTTCTAAATTCAAATTTCACCAATTTTAGGCTGTGAATATTAACAATATGATAAATGACATAAATATTTTTATTTGAATTTTTTTGTTGTGCGAAATATGTGTATTATGAGTGGATAGAAGAGTAATTAGTCAGTAAGTGCTCACGTAGGCAAATTCATTATTTCTGTAAAATAACAATCAACCGGATTGTCATTTGTCACTAGCTATAAAATGGAATGTCTTCTGTAATACGTTTGTGTCTATTATAATATAGTTAATATATAAGTGTTATTTACCTCTTAGATTAGTTAATGTGTTCTTAGCTATACATTTGTCACTAAACAACGTTAACTTGATTTTATTGGATTGGATTGAGTTAGTTTAATTGGTAAGTTTCATGAAAACAATTTCATTGACAAAAAATGACTAACTATAATGTTACCTTTTCCACATGAAAACGATGGTCATGTTTCGTGTGATAACATGATAATTATTTTGGGACGACGAATATAATTTATTCGACGCGAAGATTCTGCTGCTGGCATGTAACGTACTCAAGCATACGGTGTGTCAATGTTTGTGGATGGAAATTGATGAAGTGTTTTAAAGCCGAAGTAAGAATCATTTGAAGCAGAACGGATTCTAAACGGGATGCGTTTCGCTTTTTGGTTTATTCTAATCTAACCAAAGTTTTCTTTCACTTTTCGTGGGTCATCACAGAATCTTATCGTAAATTTGGATGATCTGCAATTCTGTATTTTTTTCTTTTTTTAATTTGGTCGATTCAGTAATAATTTATTTTATTTTATTATTTTTGTTTTTGTCGTGGAAGGATAATCCCCTTAATGAGAAAAAAGTGAATCAATGCCTCAAATATTTTTTTTTTGACTAAAAAATTCATTTTTAAGGTGTTAATCCGCTTTATATCTTATAATTAAAGACACTGTAGTGGAAAATGAAATGAGAATTTATTAAGTCAAAAGCTTTAAAGTAGTTGCACCAGCCAATAACCGAGTTTGTTTTTATAACGGTGTAGTTTCTTTCAGCTGTTGTAGTCAGCTTACGCTGCAAAAAAGAAAAAAAAAGAAAAAAACAATAGTTATATTCTTTTGTCATGTTTCTTCAAAGCCAAGCTAATTAGGTTGATACTGAAGCTAATTAATTAGCGCTGAAAATTAATAAAATTGAAAAGCCAAAACTCTTGGCAGCTGCAAATGCTAATTTGACTGTTTGGATACATATCTTGAGAGTGATAATGATGACCTAGCCAAAATGGTATATAGTGAAGGCTAGCTACTATACTTATTAGCCGAAAGATTTCTAACACGATGATTCTATAGCGTGTTCTATATCATTCATCAAGATTTTGACATATGACCGATCTTGCAGGTTTATGAACGGTGGGTTAGGATGTTAATAAAATTTTTTTTAAAAAAAGTAAATAGTTATATAAAAATGTGAAAATAATATACAGTGATTTAGGAAATTTTGTAAAATTACGGTGTTACACTTAGATACATTTCCAAGTTTAATTCAGTTGGATAAGAATTAACTCGGAATTTTGTGAAATTTCATGTTCGTGATTTGAAATCCACAGTAACTCATATCGATAAAATAAATTCTACTATGTAGACAAAGTTGAAATATACTTACTGGTCTCGAAAATACTTCGCTTTGCTGGGTTTGACTTAATGAAGGGGAGAAATTCATTATTGATGCTTTCATTTCCATTAATAAGACATGAATTTGAACTATACACATAGGATCTGTCATAACGGTACTAATTAGGAATTAGGAAACCAGAAAATGCTTATCTTCTGTGTGGAGAAACCAGAACATAATAATGTGGGAAAAGATGAAGAAAAAGCCATACTTTAATGTGTGGGTTTTCTTAAATTAGACAAATTTCTTTTGGGAAAGCCACATGATTAGGTTATTTCCTGTTTTGGTTTGCCAAAAGAAAGTTCTGGGCTACAAGAAAACCACATGCCCAACTCTTCCCATTCAAACTAAAAAGGAATTGTTGTGTGTGTGTGTGTGTGTGTGTGTATCCTCTTCTGGTTTTGAGGCAACCAAAAAAAAAAAAAAAAAAACTTGAGGGCTAGGAATAAAGAACAAAGTCTTGATTAGGAAAGAGAGAATTTAGAGAAGGGAAAAAAAAAAAAGGTAGAAAAGAAACTTTCAGAAACATGGCTTCATGTCTGCTCCCTTAGCTAACTAATTCTCACCAATTAATCAAATTGAAAAATTGGAATAAGCTTAATTAGGCAAAGACATAACCATGTGCAAACCAACATAAAATAATATGAACATGCTCAACACAAATGCACCACTAGGAATAATTTGTTCAACCCCACAATTAGAATAACTTGAATGTTTTTAAGAGTGATTTAAAATGTTTTTAATTATAGCTAGATATAGAACCTTTTTTCATTTTCTACATGTCTTGCATTAGTCAAAATATAATGTAGGATATCTGATTTTACTATAATTGAATTAAAATGATAGTGAATGAAAATAAAACGAGATAAACAGATTGAAATTTCGAATTTGAAATGATACGTAGTGAAAAAAAAAAAAAAAGATGGAGAAAGAAATGTATATGACCCTTTGTAAGTTCATTTTCACATTACTTTTCTTTTGCATAAGTTTGATGAGTAGGTGAATGTGTCTCCAAACTCATCTGAAGAGACACGTAGAGATGATACAAGAACACAATTCCTTTTTATGAATAGATGTGGCTTATTCTCTTTTGTGCTTGGATCTATAAAAGGACAGCCACGATTTCCTCAAACTTGTGATGCAAACCAACTAATTAAAAAAAAAAAAACAATTCTTTTGAGCCCTTTTCTGAGCTAATTATGATGTTGACGATAACGTTTTCAATTCAAAAACTCATGCTAACTCCCCTAGTTTTCCTAGAAATTATACACCAGAATGAACGGATTTTCAAGTCAATCATTAAATGGTGACCTTTTGCCATGGTGATTAGGAATATGAAATTAAGGTTGTCATGAATTGTTAAAACCCTAAATGAATTGTCAATGTACTCAAGTTAGCTGTATCTATAGGCCTATAGACACGTATGTCGAACTTGTTATCTTTAATCTAAAAATATTAAAGGGTGTGTTGCCAACTTATTAAAATGTTTTATAAAATTGTGAAAAATGTCTACGACAATTTAAGTCAAAACACCAAACATAAAATCAATTAATTAGTACGATGTTCATTTCTAACACGATAATATAATTTTTCGACACATAACTTAATTGACATGATACAACAAAAAGATTTATTACGAAAAACTAACTTATACTAGAGATAAACATGACACGACTTTGATACGAGATAACGTAAATTGACAATTAATGCCAAGAAGAACATACATCCCACCTTGGAAACCCTGGAAAGGCAGGGCAAACACTAGAAGTAATGAATTGTCAGACTTTATTTCCTTTTTGGCAAGGAGAGAATAATGAGAATGGGAAGCACGAATATATGGTATATCTCTAGGCAAATGAACCTTTTTTTTTTTTTTTCCCCTTTTTTCCTCTTCTTTTCTCAAGAGGCAGATCCCATTTAGAAGGAGAACCTGATTAAATGACACATATTAAAAGCAGGTTTCTTTCTTTCTCTAATTCATTAAATTATTATATCAACCAAAAGTTACATGTGAATTGTGATGACATAAATCTGACCTAACCATAAAAGGGCTTAATATAAATGTCATATTCTTAGCTTTGCTTGCCAACAGTTGTTTCATTTCTGTCTCTTTTCTTCTCCATTCTCTGTTCTCTTAGAAGAAATTAAACAGTGTTTTCTACCCTTTTATGTATAACAAAGAAGAAATGCCATCTTTCTTGGAGCTAATTAATTCTCAAGGATCAGGTTTATTCTTGGAGGATGATAGATTGGTTTCCAGTTCTGAGTCAAGTTCTTCATTAGAAGAGGCTTCTTCTGGTTCTGGCAATTCTGTCAATATGGTTAGTCCTGAATTTGCAGAGTTTTCCAAACAGAACATGATCAATGAATATAATGATCATGTACATTCTTTTGTTTCTGGTTCATCAACTAAGTTAGGCAGCCATGGAAACCAAACTCCCTGGAATTTCCTTGAATCATTCCCTGCAATAAGAGAATCATTATCATCATCCCAAGCTCCTCCTGATCATCATCAACCTTGTTCTTTCCCAAACTTAGGTTTGTTTCTACAGGAGCCATCTGTTCTTGATGTATCGAAAAAAGCCGCAGAATCGGTAGGAAAAGCTCAGAAATCTGAGCCTGTGCTATCTTGTCAGAACCCTTTGTTTCCTATGTCTCAGGCAGGAACAGAATGGCTGAAAATCAATCAGAACATCACAAACAATGCGCAAAAAGGCGGGTTCAGCGAGTTCTGGCTGAGTACTACAAAAACTCAACCAATGAAGTTCACAGGGAGAAGGATCAGCAACAGCAACATTCAGAGGAGTCCTGTTTCATCATATTCAACATCTCAGAGGAAACTTTTCAGGGGAGTTAGGCAAAGGCATTGGGGAAAATGGGTAGCAGAGATACGGTTACCGCGAAACAGGACAAGAGTTTGGTTGGGGACATTTGACACAGCAGAGGAAGCAGCTTTTGCTTATGATACAGCTGCTTATATGTTAAGAGGAGATTATGCACATTTGAATTTCCCTGATTTGAAACATCAAATAAAGGCCAATTCAGTGAGTTGCAACACTGCAGCACTTCTTGAAGCCAAATTGCAGGCAATACAACAGAATTTATCTGCTAATACTGCAAATAAGTGCCCTGATCAGCCATCAACAGCAACAAAGCCATCTGTTTTAAACAATAACTTGAGCCATATTTCGACGGCCCATAAGGATATTCAGTGGCCTAATTTAGGCTTAACTGACTGCAAAACTGAAACTGCGATTATGGTTGACCATCATAGCAGCAGCAAGCAAAAAAGCCATGAAAGTGGTTTATCAGATTTGGATAGTGCTGTTCAGTTGAGTAGAATGCCATCTTTGGATATGGATACCATCTGGGATGCTCTTCTTGTTTCTGATTCATGACATTTTTACAGTGGAAAATATTCCTTATGATGATCATGTAATTTTATTAGTTCATCCTTCATGATGGCAATTTTCCAAAGAGCAAATTATTTCTTGAAAATGATTATTGGCATTTTTTTTTTTTGTTTCTTTATCTCTGCTCTGTGATTCCTAAACAGTAATTCACAGGTTTGCATGTTTCTTATTTGAATTTACAAGAATCTGTGGTTAATTAGTAACTCGATTGAGACTTGCTGTAGGCTGAATGTGCTGAATAACAATTATCGAAGTTTGATCATTTTGGGACGGAGGGAGTACTATTCTTTTCCAGAAAACCATTTGTAAAATACAGGAAATTAGGATCTTCCTTGATTTGTGCTTAAAAATTGTCTTTTTTACTTCATGATTCATTCCTGAGATCTCCTGAGGGCCAATTTACCCTTCTTTTTATGCAACTTTTTCTAGTAACTTTGTGGTATAGAAATCCTTTTGACCTTGATTTTAAAACTAGAACAACCATTTTAAAACGTTTGATGAGAAATAAACACAAATTAGGAATACCAATCTCAACTAATATAAGAGAAGTTCGCCTGATTGTGGTTGCCTAAATTTTAGAATCACTAATACGGAATTAGTTCGCCACCCTCTTATATAGTTTTAAAGGTGAAGGTCAATGCTGAGTCTAATTAATGCTATGTGTGGATAATAACTTTTTTTTTCTTGAAATTTTTTTTTGGTTAAAAGTGTAGATTGAAAATGCAAAAAAAAAGTATTCAGAACATTAAAAGCAAAGTTATAACTCCCCTCATTACAATTGAATAGGCCATTTGGATACACAGATTAAGAAAAAAAAAATTGTGCTATATTTTATTTGGTTAATTTTAAAGTTTATCGCTCCAAATATCTTGATAATAATCATTTACGAGATACGAGGATCGTGTATTAAAAAAAAAAAAGAAAAATATCGAAAGATCTCCTACATCATAATTCTACACCACTTCCACTTCTTATTTCATTCATTAAGATTTTGACATATGGTCCAACCTTCGACGGGGTTATTCAGTGATAGATTAGGTGTTAATAAAATTTTAAAAACGAAAGTAATAATTAAATTAAAAAAAGTGACAAATTTAATATAACAGCGCAGAAAATGTTATACGATTATAGTGCAGAAGAACTTAGTCTTGAAAAATACATAGAATCATCATATTAGGCAAAAATCTTCGTGTGTGGTGGTCAACAAAGTTAATGCACAACCAATACGAAATTCCATCAAATTGGAGTGTATGCATATTGATCACCGGAGAAAAAAAAAACGTCTATTTGAAATCTACAATTCCACTTTCTCGAAGTCATTTTTGCATGAAGCATATATGTATCTGGTCACATATTGCAATATTTCAACAAAAATCTGCCAAGAGCATCACGTTTGTTCATCGTGCCCACCACCAATATCATTCCCAAATACATATCCTCTCAACTTTTCTTCCTTTATGTTCTCACCTTAGATCTTAGATCTATATTTTCTATCTTGTTAGTGTTGTTAAAATCAATAGATTACATATAAACAAGACACGTATTTTTATTCGACAAATATATATAACATAGTAACACCTATTGTCACATTCGATAAAATTTGATGTTCAAAACAATGCAATTCTTGAAATAAAAGTTTGATTCGTTAACATGTGTGACTACATTTATTGCAACCAATTTTATGGCTCAGTTAATAATGTCCTCAAATAATAATTTAGTAGTACTTAGTTAACAAGTTCGATTGACTTTATTTTTTCTTTCTAATTTCTAAATATTGATTTATGTCACTTGACTTTTATTCATTCATTTTTTTAAAAAAATGTAGGTAACAATAAAAGATTTTTAAAGCCTTCCTTTTCTATCTTTTTAGAATCAAATCTGTTTTCTGACTCATGGGCAACTAACCAAGCCTATATGATCAACTCTAAAAAGTCAAATAATAAGATAATTGGCTGATTGGCTTGGTGTCAAACGTTTGTGAAAGAGTTTGACTAATGGATTCTGCCTTAGTGTTTGTTTGTTTTGTTTTTTTTTTTTTTGTGGTCTATACCCAAATCATAAGTGTATGGTAAGTACAAGTTACCTAATCAACATGTTTTCAATTTATTTCAGTTAAGTCAAAATGGTGTTGTCAATTCTCTCTTAATTGGAGGAAGAAAAACTTGATATGTTTCGACCTAGAAAATGCTCATAAATTAAATAAACCTAACAAAGAAATTGAATTGACAAAAAATTAATCCAGACGCTTGCTAATAATATTCATTTGTCCCATTTTAAAAGTAGTACAATGAAAGGATCAATTATAACAGAAGCAGGAAGGAGAGTTTTTTTTTTATTTTTTATTTTTATTTTTGGAGAAAAAATTAATCCTTAAGTAATTCTTCTGATTTATAAACCCACAGTATAGTATAGTATAGATGCATTTTTCATTTTTCCTTTAAACACTTTAAAGTAAAACGACTAAATGTTTTCAATGAAGACAATTAATGTTGCAGTTAATTAGTTATCAACCAAACAGGTCCTTACTGATGATGATTATATGTCACATAAAAGTTACCAAAATAATGACAATCATCAAATATTAAAACCTAAAATAAAACCATATATGATATTCCATTTCCTAGATGAAGATCATTCATTTCGCTTGATCCTCAACTTGTTCTTAACAAGAACAGCTTATTCAGATTTGAATAATCCCTAAGGGACCACAAAGATCTCTTTGGCGGCTGGCTGGACGATCAACAAGTAATCTAAAACATCATTCTTCAAAATCCAATCACATGAAGCAGAACATCACCAGACATGATGTAACAACAGTAAAATGCAGTTCAACAACAGCCTAAAAGACAAAAAGAACTTTGGTCCTGACTCCTGATCCTGATATCTTCTTGTTCTTGTTCTACTTCATTCAGAAATAAAACAAAATTTGACAAGGAAGGGGTGGCCATGAAAAAAACTTATAAGATGGACTATGATATTTTTAAACTTTGTTAAATTGTAAAGCATACTGCAACTCCTTTGACAAGGTGAGGATTCTTAGGCTTTGTAAGGTTGTGCACCTTCATTTGGTTGAAGTTCCTTCATCACCGAGTTATAATCCCTTTGTAAAGTTCTGTACCACGGAAGCATCTCCACTGCATGCCTTGTCTTGATTCCCATGGACCTCTGTGTTTTTCTGCACTTCAAGGAGTTCTTTGTTAGCCTGATTCTTCCCAAAAGCATTTTCCTGCCCTGAATTCAGTGCACAGAATACTTCACTTCCTCCATTCTTCTCCTTGAGTGGATGATCCTCATTATTGCCAGAACTGTTGGGAGCATCCTCACTTATAACTGTCTTTCCTGAATCCATCAGGTTGAGGTCCGGCCGAAGACTCAGCAGTTGCATTGCTTGTCCATCAGATGCGGGTTGTCCTATACTCAGCTCCGTATTGGTCTCGCTATTCAGGTTTGAACTGATCACATTCTCGGATGAGTTAGATGGGGTTACACCACCCATTTCATGATTCTGGTCCACATCCATATTAGCACTTGAAGGTAGATGAAAAGGTTCCTGATGAATTGGAACTGCACCGCTGACCTGCCCTGTCCTAAGTCTTTTCTTGTATGTCTCCATCTCCATTCTATATCTTTCTTTATCCCTCACAGCTTTTTCCTGATAGGTCTGTTCATCAATGAATATTTTTATTGCCCAGACAGTTAAAACGAAACTTGGTGAAAAGAAGCCATAGAGGAAGAAGCACGGGACAGGAGAGAATACTTACAATTCTTTCAGTGTCAGTTAATTTATTCCATGAGTCACCAATCATCCTACTGATGTCCCGATCCCTGCCTGGATAGAGTGGTTTAAGCCTGGCATGTTGTTCAGCAAAGAAAAAGTTGTAACCGCTTCTATTGGGCTTTGGATGGGCGGGATCCCTTTTCTTCATTTCAGATTTCTTCCTGCGCTTCCGGCGCCCCACTCCTGTGGCTGCTGCTGTACTGTCAGTCATGCCAACAGATGTGCCTTGATAATTCTGGTTACTTTGAGGTTCTGTTGATTGTTGTGGAGGGTCCGAAATAGCATGATAAAGGACCCCTCTGTACTCTTCTGAGCCAATTCTGACGGTAATAAGATATCCGCTGTCAAATTTACCATCAATAACCCCAAACACTTCAGGACCTGCTGTTGCTGTAGCTGGACTTGCGGCAACAACTGAAAAAGTAGGGATTAAGTAGGCATATTTATCCGTGGATATGGAAGTGGCATACCCAAAGGTTTCAAAATTATGCATAAACTGTAAGTTTCTTTTTTTTGTAAAATCAAGGCGCAAGACATCCAGATTTCAAAATCTCAAGATGACCATGTAAGAGACCCTTGGTACTATTTTCCCATAAGGGGGGAGCATTAAGTAGTGATTTCTTCTCAACTAAGAAATGGAATCATTATTTCTGCAGATAAAGGAAAACTTTTCAACTCTATTCTCCAGGTAATCCACATTATGATAAGTTATATGACATACTCTGGAAGCTCGCACAGGAAACAACTGAAACTACTTTGTCAGAAACATGCAACTAGAAATGCATTATTTTGCATCATCAAAAACCAATGCATTACTTCGAAATCACCATCTTGGGTCCAATAAGATCTACTCACCAGAAAAGACCATTGTTCTAAAGAGAAATTCTGTACACAATAACTTTCAGATTTCACATGCCTGACAGCAAAATCACTATTACATTTAAGAACTATGGGAATACTGATTGCTTTCCATGATATGTCTTTCTCCATGTAAATCAAGTTCCCTTAGGAGTATAGTTTTCACATGAAAACAAAGATTCATAGTTTGGCTTAAGAAAATGTATGAATTAAAAAGGAAGGGAACAAATAATTCATAATTTATTGTTGTCAAATCTTATCAAGGAAATTAGAAATGAGAAATAACAGTATTATAAATGCGCCACATATTTGGTTGTCAAAGCCATTCACAATAAGGTTCAAAACAGAAGATGAATCCATGCATACACACATGCACTTTCACACAGTTACAAATGAATGCGACTACCACAGTCCAGTTACATGCAGATTACATTATAAAGCTAGAAATGTGGTGTGGAAGCATGTCATGATCACTAAAAATAATGTGCTGAGGACTGTAGATAAAACCTTCAGGCACAGATGTTGTGGATTCATTTTGGGTGGTTGCTTTCCTATTTGGTGCTGCTTTCTGAATTGGTGATGAGTGTGCAGGTTCAACTTGTCCACGGGGAATACCTCTGGATGACGACAGGTGCAAAGAATCTGCAATAGGAGCCGTCACTTTGAAAAAAAATCATGGACGTACGTCAAGATAACTAAAAGGGAATGCAGCTAGGACTGTTGGCAATACCTTTAGGCAAACGTATAGTAGATTCTCTTTGGGTGGCAGCTTTCAGAATTGGTGACGAGTATGCAGGGTCTGCACGTCCAAGGGGAATAGCTCTTGATGCTGCGAATTGCATAGAGTCTACAATAGGAGCTGTCACTCTAACAAAATTAATGACATATACCAAATCATTGAAGAGAACACATATAACAGGATATCCAGGAATACACACCAGTCATACTTGGAGACCAACCCTCAGACTTCAGAAAGTAAATTTGTTCATAATGGTGAAGTAGCGAGAAATAATACTTTCGAAGAACAAAAGAAGCATTAGTTGCTGAAGATGGAAAGCTAAAAGCGCCAAATACATCTCTCCACTTTCTGTCCTGGAGAACCTGTAAATGGAGTAAGAAATGCATTAATGAAAAGGATAAACTCTAGGAAAAGATTGGCTTCAGGACATGTCAAAACCATGGGTTTCTTCATACCGCCTGACTTATGCCAGATAATGATGATGCATTTAGATGATCATTTGTATACAAAACAGGGAGCGAAGACAGAACAACAAGAACCATTTATTACAATCTGCAATTAAGAACACAGTAGAAGTTCTAACTTCCCTTTTCTAGAGTATATCTGAAATGAGACATCATGGTGTCAAGCTGTTTGACAGAAATAATCAATGATGATCTGAAGATGAGCATTTAATGCTCACAGTTCAATTATAAAGTTAATGGTATGTGACACATAACAGGTATTAATTTGGAAAGTAATGCCAATGGAAAAAGGGAAAGATAATCATTGCTGAATGTTAAGATAGAATAGATCTACTTCATATATGACAAAGGGCAGTTGAACGTAAGGTAGAATAAGAAATTCATTTATTAACAGATATTAACTGGCAGAAGAAAGCTTAAAAACCCATACAACTTGTCCTTGGTTCCATTAAAAACTATAAAGAGATATCTTTACAAACATTGAATTTCCCAGGCAACAGTGTCAGAAAACAAAGGACTCTTTTAGGAAGACAGTGCAGACAAATCTCCCTCTACAAGAGATTTGATTCAATATGCAAAATACTTTCTTAGCAGCTTCTCCACCCGACAGGGTTAAACAGATATCTGTATACAACCAATTTCTTTTTGCTTCAAACGAATGGTTAACAAAATGGACTCAAGCTACAGATCTCAAGAACAAGTTTCCCACAATTATTATTATTATTTTTTTTTGGGTTAAAGATCATCACAAAATTTACTTTCCTCGAGATTTTTCTTAATTTGGATTTTAAGAACTCATATTTCATGGAGACAAGGAACCAAGGGCAAAAAGGGGTGTTATAACTGAATGATAAGACATCAAGCTTCTATTCATAAGATATGTGTGATACTAGAGTTACTTCAGCCCTTTCAAGGAAAGCTCATCAACAGAGTTTTCGTCACAGTGATGGAAAGTAAGTACTAAACTGACGGATAAACAAATACAGTTCCATAAAAGATCTTCAGTTGCCACCCTTCTTTCACAGACAACCAAACTAATACAACTACTTGTAAACACAGGACTAAGCACAACAAAAAAGCGGAAGGAAGCATGCAACTGCGACTTGCATGGCTTCTCACCTTGGCAATGCCACCACGAGAAGTCACCTGAACAAACAGTCGATGCAAATCCAAATCCTTGCCGCCAACTGTTGGGATCCTGGAAGATATAAAATTCAAAATATGTAAATCAACAGAGTTGTTACTTCAGGAAGGGAAATACAAGCAAACATTTTAACCAAAAAATTACAAATTAGCAGAATAGTGCCTGAAATACATCATAACTTCGAAAGTTGATCAAACCTCCGTGGAATAATTTATTAGTTAGAAACAACCAGTGAAACAGTGTTTATCAGATATCATAGCATCATTTACTAGAATTCAGACACATGCTTCTCCTCAATTATAGACAAGCAATTTGCCTTTAATCTTCCAGCAACTAGCAACAAAAATTTCCTTCCACAGTTTATTACAGATCTTTGAGCGAACTTTCCTGTCAATAATAAACACTTCAAGTAAAACAATCCAAAGAGAAGCCTAACATGAACTTGGTTCCCATGGCGGCGTGGACCTTCTCCAAACTTAGCATGAATAGAGCTGGGGAAGCAACAACCTCCTCATATGTAGCCAAAGGAGTGGGGTATCGACGATAATCTGGTGGCATTGCTTGCAGAGGCAATGGATTAATGGCAGCTGAAGAAGATGAATTCATTGTCATCTTCCCTCCACCGATTTCCATCATCACCGGCTGCTCAACCATTTTACCCTTCTGCCTCTGCATATTTAAATGTATGAGCCTAACCATGGAAGCGGTGGACATTTTATAGCTCAAATTCAAATAATGACTACTGACACCTGTGAAAGCAGACAAAAAGCTACCAACTGTTGCCAGCAAATGGAGAGTGAAGATTAAACACAACTCATTAGCATTCTCAAAGGATAACAATGCAGCCAAGTTCGACACGCAAATGAACACGGAAAATCAAGGATAAGCTTACAAAAGAACAAATAATAACCGAAGTGCTGAGAAGAGAATCACCCTACTGACTTTAGAAGCATAAAAATGTGACACCTAAATCGGTGGAAAAACTCGGGTGGCAGAAAAGATCACAAAAGCAAAATTGAGAAATACTACCATGCCTCACTACTCCAATAACTTTTAAAATTGGACCTCAAAACTTTCCAAGATACAGAGAAAAGATCCTCTATGTAACTTTTCCTAAACTGCATGGATATTTTTGACATCAAGACAGCATCACAAATGCATTAATCTATGTACCATGATGTATGCAAAGACAAAGAAGGCACACGAATCCAATTCTTGCCTCTTTAACTTTCCTACTTGAGTAAGCGAAATACAACAATGCTACCAAGGTGGCAACATGCCCTCCTAGCAAAAAACCTGCGTCCACTTTATAGACACCCTTTACATTTCCATAAACATTTTCTATGCAAAAAGAGGATGAATCTAAGGAAAATTGTTATGGCTATTCAAGAAATGAAATGGAACCTTTCTTGATAAAAATATAGATTGGAAAGTTACTCATATCAAACGGTAGGGGCATCTACTGGGTCTATACTTCAGGGCTTTGAAGAAAATGATGCTGATGCTTAATGCTGACCCAATTCATCTGCAAGTAGATAAATACAAGCTCAAGATGAATTCTAGTTGGATTTCTATTAACCTCTGCACCACTTATGATTGCTAAAGAAGAAACTATCCTGTGAAACAGATCAGTAAGGCTGATCTTAATTGATCAGTAACGCTGATCAAAAAGGGAAAAAAGAAAACGAGGAAATGACACGCATAATAACAATCACAGTTCTATATCCACTGGTTCAACATTTAAAAAATTACCCAAATTTACTACTAACATTTCTTGGAATATAAACCCTCTTTTAAAAGTTTCCGCAGTTTTCAACACAACAAAAAGCTCCAATAACTTTTGCAGAATCTACATTTAACTTGTGCAGGTGGAGCAACTGAGCAAACACAGTTGGTCCTTTTCCTACTCCCCATAAATTAAAAACATTCAGATTGAGGACAGCATAATCCACTAGTTATTAAATTGACAGGTCAAAAATCTGAATAAAGAATCTATTTTGCAAGAAGAATCTTTGGAAAATCCTCTTTGGCTGACATTCCAAACACAAAACAGGAACATGCAATTAAATGTTAGGCCTTGGACTTTGGACAATGTAAAGAACCCGCTAAAAGGAAAACTCTGTCATGCAGTAATGAAAGTCCAGAACTTTACTCCAAAAAAACTTTATTAATAAGACTGTCTGACGCTGTTTTCATAAAAAGCATAAGATTTGTAGGGTACACCAAAAGTTTTTTCTCACAAGGTAAAAAAAAAAAAACCCACTTCAAGATTTCAAGTTTTCAACCTCCAGAATTCAAGATTGTCCCTCAACCATGAATGGTAAACTGATCACATAAAAGAGGGAAAAACAAAGAAACCCAAGATGTAAAAATGTAATCTTGAAACACCCCATGAAGGTTTGATAAGAGAAAAATGTCTAAAAAAATGAACTCACCACTCACCGGGCACTTTTTGGGAGTTTTATGTTATACAAATGAACTGACTTTTTTCACTATGGTTGGGATAATCAGAATTCAATTGACAGTGAATTTTGTTGGTTGGATTGGATCTATCAAAAAATACAAAAATGATCTGGAGATTATATAATGTCATATACTCATGGATTTGTTAGTTATTACTTCCTCCTAATCATCATCATCATGTGGGAAGAAAACTGACAGTGTGAAATGACATAACCGTCCTCATTCTTGGCAGCCTTTTTTGCAAATTTGGATGAGTAAAACTGTCATTTTGTTATGCACGTGCATAATAAATGGAGTATTTAAATTGGGAAAAGAATACGTTATCGATAAGATAAACTAAATTGTATTCTAATGCACATCAATATTTTTCTAGTTATGGAAAATAGGTAACTCATGAATATCTTTAATCTTTATGATTAAGATATTTTATAGTCTCTGCCAAATTCCATTCAATGATCACGATTGAAGTTTTTATATTCATAAGGTATCCATAATAAGAGATTTTCTTTTATTGAAACTGTCTTGTATATTTCTGGGTATAATCACTTAACTTATTGTTTTATTTATTAACCTACTAACTAGATGCTTGGCCCGGGCGAATGCCCGGAATGACGCCTGTATTTTTAAATCGATTAAATAAAAAATATGAATCATTCTTAAAAGAATAAAAAAAATAGAAGAATAAAAAATCGATTGAAAGGACAGAAAGTGAGTTATTATACATAAATCTATGCCCAGATCTATAACATTTAATTTACAACAGTTAACTTATGCCCGGGTTTACATAAATCATAAACCAATATCTACAACAGAAGAATAAAAAAAAATCATCCTTAAAAAATCAAATTTCTTTCATGACAGCTTATTTTGTCTCTCTTGTAGAAAGAGATGGATTGATAATTGATGTCAGATTTTAAGTAATTGATTTAAAGACCCGAGTGTGAGAGAGGAGCGGAATGGGGATTGGAAAGACATTATTGTGTTTCACTTAATTTAAGAGAATTTCCTTATATTTGATTTTATTAATTGAATATTATTATTTTAAAAGATTAGTATATAACTATAATTAAGAGATTTTGATGTAGTTATAATTAAGGGATTTATGTATTTATCTATTCCATCTTTTTTTCTGATTTGTTAGAGTGCCACTTGTCAAAAATAATTTTGTACCGAAAATGGCTTTTGGCGGAAAAATTATTATTATAGTGCTAACACATGTCTTTTTTGTTTGCTACTTTAATTAAGTTCTATAGATTTCAAACTTTGACGTGAAAAAATGTGTAACCTTATCAACTAGTATACTATACTCACTATAAAATGATTGTTTAATTTATCAACCTACCAAACTTTGACGTAAAGGACTGTGTAATTTTATCGGCTTGTATATTATATGGTCAATACGTTAAAAATGACGAGATTTCGTAATCTTTAAAAGCATGGCTATACTTATTTTTCTTTATTGTTCGGAAATAATTATCTAAATTATACTAAAAACTTTAACAAGAGGAATCATTGTTGTCAATGGTAGACACTTTTAAATATGAAAAGCAAAAAAAAAAAAAATACTATATCAAAAATAAAAATTCAAAACCAAATAATCATTTTGATATGAAAGAGTAATAATAATAATTTGTGTCGAATATATATAACTATATATATATATATAACTATATATATAACTATATATATATATATATAACTATATATATAGTTATATATATATATATATATATATATAACTATATAACAACTATATATATATATATATATGGCAAAATCTAGAATCCCGTTGATTATTTTTACGGAACCGTCCCGTTTTGTCTTCAACCAATCAAAATTGATCGTATAAGATTTAACCATGTGGTGAATAACATTCTATAATATCATAAACTAATTGAGAAAATGATCATTTTTGCCTAAAACATCAAGTTTCTGGCCAATTTGACCCAAAATATTTTTGAGAAACAAATTCATCATTTAAATTTCAATTTTTTGCCAATTTAATCCAAATTGATGAGAATTCTGTTAGATTTAACATTTCCATTGACATTTCCATTGACATTCTGTTAGATTTAACTTTGTTGACCCAAAAATTTTAACATTTTATCCCTAATGTTTTGTTATTCAGTAACATACACTTATCTTACCATTTAATTATTATAACGTCCTCACCACATAATTTATCTCCTATCTAATCCATTGTTCCCACCCTAAACCTCTTCATTTTCTTCCTCTTTTACTTGTTTTCCGCTACCGTACAACTACCGCCACTTTCCTCTTCTCCCTTAAAAGTTACCATCACCACTTCCTAAATCTGTGAGTATTTCAAACCGTCACCACAAACATAAAAATTTGCCTCCACCAACAGTACACAATCCTCTCTCCATCACTACCCGCATTTCCGTTGCCGCCACTTTTCTTCAATTCTACAAAAATTATAAAATATTTTACTTTTATTCTTTTTTTTTCCTTCTTCTTTTTTAAAAATTGTACGAAGTAACGGAAAAGGGAAAAAAATAGCAGTTACACCGTTTTGACCCCATCGTCAATTTTACCCTATTGATTTGTTAGCCAATTTTGTCCTTTATGTTTAAAATTTTTGTCAATTTCATCCAATTGGTCAAAGTTCCGCTATACTTAATGGATCTCCGTTAGTTTTTAATAAAAATACCCGAATAGTTTCAAAATATTATAAAGATAACTCACAGAATACTTTTTGAGTTATCCGGAACCTGAACGTCGTTTTCATCCTTTTTCTTGCTTAAAAAAATGTAAAAATAACAAAATAATTCCTTTTCACTTGTATTCATTTCAATCTATTTCATCTTATTTCTATTTACTACTTTTCATAACCATTAAAATATAATATATGATCTTTAAAAAATAATTATTTATTTTCAACAATATTTCTCATGTGCAACACACTTGAGTTGGGTTTGGGTCCTTTTTTTTTTTATTTTGTTGTTTAAGGTAACCGGTTTGAAGTGTTCTTGTTATGACTGAGACATGGATATCGGATTGGTAGGCTGGCCCTATCTTCTTCTTATGCAATTTAAGTACTATTAAAAAAATTATCTCTTTGGATAAAAAAAAATTATTTTTGGCTAGATCGAGTAAAATTTATATTTCGTAACTTACTTATTAATTACAAGAAGTCAAGGAGGAAAGACTTATCTTAGCAGTTTTTTTGTAGATTTTTTTTTTGTTTAGCATAATAAACTATTAATTTTCATATTTATTTTAACTTGATTTTTTCTCATTTTCTTTATTTTTAAACTTTTTTTATAATCTATGAAATAAAAGGTAAATTAATTAATGAAATTTAGTAGTTATAGTAGTAGCAACAGATACAAGTCAGGAAGTATAAGAAAAAGAATAGTAAATAACAAAAAAAAAGTTAATTAGATATTTTAAAAATATGACAAAATTACTTCTGAACCCAACTCACATGTTTGCACATGAAAAATAGAGTTTGAAAATAGATACTTATTATTTAAACATCTTATAATATATTTTGATTGTTATAAAAAGTAGTAAAGAGAAATAAAATTAAATAGAAATAAATAATAAAAAGAGATTATTTTGTTGATTATACATATTTTGTGGGTTATTTTTATAATTTTTTGATACTATTGACATATATTTTTGTTAAAAATTAACTGAAATCCCTTAAGTTTAACGGAAATTGGGCCAATTGGATGAAATTGGCAAAAATTTTAAGATAGAGGACAAAATTGGCTGGCTAAAAATCAATGGGGTAAAATTAACGAAGCGGTTCAAAGAATGAGTACAACCGTCATTTTATCCATAACAGAATGTCAGCGCAGGTGTTAAATCTAACGGAAGTTTTGTCAATTGGTTGAAATTGGCCAGAAATTAAAACTGAGATGATGAATTTGGCTTCTAAAAATCTTTTTGGGTCAAATTGGCTAGACACTTGAAGCTTTGGGCAAAGGATCAATTCCTCTAATCTTTTCAGTTTAATTAGGCGTGTTTAAATATATTTAATTATGATGCACCTTCATTTTAATCCTACGATTGTTAATTAGACTAATTAATTCTACGGTTATTATCTTAAAACGGAACCGTCCCGTAATGGGATTCTCTCTCTCTATATATATATATATATATTATATTTACTATATACCAAGGCTCGATCCATGGACATTTTTTCTAGATGGACGTTCTCAATTTTGCCACTCTCCTTGCCCCCCAGTTAACCCGGTCTTGTTTCCCTCTTATTAATCATACCCTTCAGTCACCGGTCGTCTCTTCTTTCTCTTTGATACCTTCACATAACGCCGCTTGTCCCTTCACCCTCCTCCTCTAGATGTATACTAGTTTACATTTATTTTTGAAACCTTTTCTACCGAGAGGGCTTTCCAATTGTCTCGATGGAGATGGAAGAGAAAAATTTGTGGATTCGAATTAATAACTCGATAAATTAATAAAGTTTGGGGGTCGAAGTATTAATTTATAGAGGTTTTATTGTAATTAGTTGGGATAAAGGCTAAATAGACTTTTAAAAGATTCCGAACCAATCTTATATTTTTATTTGAGATTTTGAGTAAAATTTTCTTCTTTTTTTTTGATAATAGAAAAATCATCTTTATCTAGATCATAACATTGCTAGATTGTCCTATAAAAATTTTCAGGCAATTGTAGTAATACTATTCTTCAAATGGTTTTTTTTTTTTTACGGTCGTTTAGAAGATGGATACGTGTCTGCAGAGATTTTTTAATTGAGTTCGAAAGCTCAATTTGTTCTTGAATACTTATCTCTTAATCTATAAGCATCAAAAGTTGTACAAGTATATATTGCTAAATCACTTTATTTATTTATCTTAATTTTAAAATAATTTTTTTTAATACAGAAATGAAAGATACACAATAAAAACTGGATAACATGTGGCTCTAATATGCAACACCACAACATGGCACAAGACTTCCCTT